TACCCTGAACTGAACCTGCCCCAAACTGAACATCCCCACAACCCCCTCCCCACACTGAACCGAACCTGCCTAGAACTGAAACTGCCCCAAACCAACCTACCCAGAACCTAACCTGCCCCGAACTGAACCTGCGGTTAACGGAACCAAAACCCGTCCAGAACCAAACACACCTAGAACTGAACCACCCTGAACTGAACCCGCCCAAAAACGTAACCTGTCCTGAACCGAACCTGCCCAGAAATGACCCACCCCCCACCTGAACCCAGGTACTTCTGTCTCATCTCTATTATATATAAATGGAGACTTGTAACACTCGTGATACATGAACATCATATAGGGAACGGAGGGATTTGTATCACCAAGCGCTCTCGTCGCAGAGCAGTTTACTCTGAGCCTGATGAAGGGGACCCTGCGCAACCCCAAAAGCGCTTGGTGATACTTTGAGTATTGACTGACATCAATAAATGGATTTTCACTGACATTTAAGTCTTTTTTTGTGGTGCTGGTGACGTTCCTATACTTACCCCCCCCCCAGTTATGGGTCACCCCCCAATATGATTTATAAATCAGGTGAAGGTGATACAAACTCCCCCGTTCCCTATATGATGTTCATGTATCACGGGTGTCACAAGTCTCCATTTATATATAATAGAGATGAGACAGAAGTACCTGGGTTCAGGTGGTCAGACTTTATAATACACATTTATTGACATTACTTTATATCACATTAATATTCTTTCCGGGTCAGCCTGAGAATCTGCATTGGGAACAATGTATCATTATATCGCTGTGACTGGAGATTGGATGGATGTTTCCGCCACATAATAATAATAATATATGGATGGAGGTGATGGAGACCTCGGAGTGGATGGAGGTGATGGAGACCTCGGAGAGGATGGAGGTGATGGAGACCTCGGAGTGGATGGAGGTGATGGAGACCTCGGAGAGGGAGAGTTATATATTTGCAATGTTATTGTTACTGGGGGAGGATCTGCTGATGTTTTGGTGGAATGGTCTTTGTATTTATTCTCTGTACAGTTTGTTATGAAGCATTTGGAATACAATATGTTTGTTGATGAGATGTCGGTGTCGGTGTTCTTTGTACAAGTTATAGAGCGGTTGTAAATATATTTTCAGACAATTTGTGGTCCATTTCATCCGCTCTCCATCGCCAGACGTCGAGCAATCTATACTGCCAATGAACTTGATGGAGAAGTTGAAGCCGGGGAATATATTGATGGATTTCAGATAGTTCATTAGACAATCGAATCAAAAACAGGAAAAAAAAAAACGATGGCAATGTCATCAAAAGTAGTTTTATTATCCGCCGGGTTCGATCAGAAATCTGAATCCCACCTCCGTGTGGCCAGTCAGAGCCTCCATTGTACATCTTCCATTCCTCGGTCATAGTCGCGGCTTTCTGCAACCGAACAGACGGAGCCAGGGACAGTGTGAACGGGTTACAGATTCAGTAGAAGGTCTTGGTGATGGGATTGTGGTGATGGGATTGTGGTGATGGGATTGTGGTGATGGGATTGTGGTGATGGTTTGTGATTGGAATTGATAGGGGTATGGACAGCAAAGGGGGCATTTCTATAATCGCCCCGGACTCTGGGCACATTCCCCTCACATTCACCGTCACACATTGAGGTGAATCATTTCGTTCTGCAGCAGGAGATTGGCCCGGGTGTCTTTTATCACCGTTAGGATGACAACATCCTATATTATATTCTATGTCCTATGTTATATTAGGATGACCACAGATGTAGATAGGTGTATTGATAAGAGTGGTTAATGGACTAAGATGGGAAGGATATTAAAGAGGTTTCAGGAAGAATAGCAACACACATACTGAGGGGAGAGTAGACTAGAGGAAACGGGGGAGTAACACAATAGCTTGTATATTTGTCTATAAGACATCTTAGTAGATCACACGGAGAATAGACACTAAAGAGTAGTAGAATGAAGGAGTGCAACAGGTCCTTGGACTTTAGTATAAGTACGCGGTCCAGTTCTGGTCACCAGTACTAAGAAAAGATGTCCTTGAGTTGGAAAAAGTCCAGCGAAGGGCAACCAAACTAATTAGGGGTATGGAGGACCAGAGCTACGAGACAAGGGGGAGGGGCTGGAGGACCAGAGCTACGAGACGAGGCTACTAAATTTAAACATGTTCACATTGGAGGTGAGGAGATTAAGGGGGGATATGATCTCCATGTACAAAATGTTTAATGGTGGGAGCAACATTAGCGATAAACTGTTTAAAATTAACTCCGTTACAAAAACTAGAGGCCATCACCTAAAATTTTTTCCTTGTGCTGGAAAAAAAATTCCAGCACAAGGGGCGAAGGGGGTTCTTCACAGTAAGATCAGTTAGGGTCTGGAACTCCCTGCCACAGGCGGCGATCTCAGCAAATAATGTGGAATTGTTCAAGAAACTTTTGGACGATTTCTTAAGGGACCGTAATATACAGGGGTACAGGTAATATACAGGGGTACAGGTAATATACAGGGGTACAGGTAACATACAGGGGTACAGGTAATATACAGGAGTACAGGTAATATACAGGGGTACAGGTAACATAACATACAGGTAACACTCCTAGAATGAGATCCTAATAGGTTGGACTTGATGGACTAATGTCTTTATTCAACCTCAAATACTATGTAAGTTCCGTCCATAGAGACGAGGTGGGAGGTGGATGGGGAGATATAGACACAGAGGTTTTTTTGTTTAGGTTAGGGGGAGGAATAATATAAGAGGACTACAAAGGTAGTCCTCCCCCCATTCCTCCAGAAGAAGAAGAAGAATGGAAAGATAGGATTAAATGATAAGGAAAGGGGATGGAGATTTGGTAAGAATATATGTGAGTGGTAGATGTAGATGTGGGTTTGTATTTAATATCTATTATATAAAATGTAAGTGCAATAAAAATATATTAAAAAAAAATATTAGGATGGCAACATACAATATCATATAATACATAATATACAGTCCATTCATTTTGTATCCAGTCAGCCAGATCCTCATTCACATTATTGGTGTTGCTCCATCTGAGGCCTCTGGCACACAAATAACAAACTTTCCCAGAATAATTCCGAGGTCGGTGTGAATTGTACAATTGGAATGTAACATGTATGTTCAGTTTAAGGATTCAATGCACTGGCTGGGAATATGATGATGCCGGAGGAGTGAGTTTAGTGTCAGCAATCAGTTTAGGGTTTCGGCTGGGGTGAAGGGTTTCGCTAGGGGGTAAGGTAATGGTTCAGCTTCAGATGCCACTTTTTTCTTTTCAGGTTTTTCGGGTTTTAGGAATTTGATCTTTTCGGTTTTAGGTGTTTATAATTTTATCGGATTTCAGTGCAGAAATTACCGATACCGAGGAAGAGATTTAGGTTTACATGCACTTGAAAATGATTCACACGTGACATCTGATTGATACAATGTAGAAATATACTTGTATTTATGAGGCGCACGTTTCCTTCAAAGTGAATTGTCTCTTATCTTAGTAAAAGAGATGAAACAACATGAAAATTGAACTTGGAAAGAATACCCAACTGTGCCAGGACAATGCATGACGTCACCACACCCTCCAACCTCATTCACTAAGCTAACTCATGTCCCCCCACACTCATACACCATTATTATACATTAGAGTGTAAGCTCCTCTGTACAGAGACTGATGTGACTGGGGGGGGAGGGGACATTAGAGTGTAAGCTCCTCTGTACAGAGACTGATGTGACTGTGGGGGAGGGGACATTAAGAGTGTAAGCTCCTCTGTACAGAGACTGATGTGACCGGCTTGGTGTTCTCTGTACAGCACTGCGGTATATGTCAGAGATATATAAATAGTCAGTTTATAAATGATGTCCATGGTTCCTATCACTCTGTGTATTTGGACAAGGTTGTTGGGTGCCCCCCCTCTTGGCTCCGGAGGGGTTGTGAAGACCTCGGGGTGGTGTTCAGTGTCGGCTGATTCACGGAGAGTCATGGTGAGACTGAATGCTGGGAGTTGTTGGTATTCTCATGCAGCATTCAGGGTCTCTCTCTCTCTCTCTCTCTCTCTCTCTCTCTCTCTCTCTCTCTCTCTCTCTCTCTCTCTCTCTCTCTCTCTCTCTCTCTCTCTCTCTCTCTCTCTCTCTCTCTCTCTCTCTCTCTCTCTCTCTCTCTCTCTCTCTCTCTCTCTCTCTCTCTCTCTCTCTCTCTCTCTCTCTCTCTCTCTCTCTCTCTCTCTCTCTCTCTCTCTCTCTCTCTCTCTCTCTCTCTCTCTCTCTCTCTCTCTCTCTCTCTCTCTCTCTCTCTCTCTCTCTCTCTCTCTCTCTCTCTCTCTCTCTCTCTCTCTCTCTCTCTCTCTCTCTCTCTCTCTCTCTCTCTCTCTCTCTCTCTCTCTCTCTCTCTCTCTCTCTCTCTCTCTCTCTCTCTCTCTCTCTCTCTCTCTCTCTCTCTCTCTCTCTCTCTCTCTCTCTCTCTCTCTCTCTCTCTCTCTCTCTCTCTCTCTCTCTCTCTCTCTCTCTCTCTCTCTCTCTCTCTCTCCCTCACTCTCTCCCTTTCTCTCTCCCTCTCTCTCTCCCTCTCCCCCCCCTCTCTCTCTCTCCCTCTCTCTCTCCCCTCCCTCTCTCTCTCTCTCTCTCCATTCCCTCTCTCTCTCTCCATTCCCTCTCTCTCTCTCCATTCTCTCTCTCTCTCTCCATTCTCTCTCCTCTCCCTCTCTCTCCTCTCCCTCTCTCTCTCTCTCTTTCTCCCCATTCCCTCTCTCTCTCTCCATTCCCTCTCTGTCTCTCTCTCTCCCCTCTCTCTGTCTCTCTCTCTCCCCTCTCTCTCTCTCCCCTCTCTCTGTCTCCCCTCTCTCTCTCTCCTCTCTCTCTCTCTCTCTCTCCCTCTCTCCCTCTCTCCCTCTCTCCCTCGCTGAGCGGAGGGTCAGAATATAAAACCTCCAACATTGCCGCAGAAGTTCGGGATTCTGTCTGCAGTCACTCAACATTCCCTCTCTGTTTCTATTCGCAGTGTCCTGGACGATGAGAGTAGTAGTCTTCGACAACAGAAACTCGACAGGCAGGTGAGTTGCTGTTAGCGGACAGACCGTCATTTCCTCATCAGACCTCTCACCCGTCCCAGAGCTCTGACATCTGGAATATAATTTGTATGATTAATATTTACATTATGATGGAATGAAATCCATGTAACAAATTTGGGGACTCGGAGAGATTTCTTTGGAATGATCAGCGAGTCAGAGACATCAGAAGCTAAAATATATGCAAATCTTGACTTTTCCTGTAAATTCTGATCTTAGCCCCGCCTTCTGTGGCCTCCAACCTTCCTATTGGCCCACGAAGCGGGAGCCCTAAGATCTACCTATCATGAAGTTATAAGTATTTACCATAACATGGGTGGACAGCGGGGGTGGATAGTGGGTGGAGCTTATAGCAGGACGGGGCCTTCGGGTAGTGTTAGGGACGAGGATGGAGCTTTGGAAGGAATGAATGAGAAACATTGTAGCTTCCACTGCTGACCTCTCCTTCTTATGTTATGATAATGCTAGTTCCCTGGCTGTCATGCTAGTCCTTCATTTCTTCCTGACTTACGACAAGCCTGCATACCATGCGTGCTTCACTGTGACTTCACTTGCTGCATGATTGTTCCTGGTCAGTGACCCAAGAAGTGTAGAAGGAAGAGAGAGAGAGAGGCAGGTAGCAAGGATTGCCAGAAAAGAGGAGGAGTCAATAAAAGAAACGAATCCAGAGCCAGGAAATGAGCATCTTCCAGGGAAATCATCAATAGCAGCTTCCATAGATCTCTCACTACAAATATCGACAATGATAAAAGTGAAATGTCGCTCACATATAGGGTAGAGATGATCTCCTCCGCATTGTGACAACACTCAGCTGTTCAAGTGACACAAGCTGTATGCAGTAGGCAGAAGAGCTTACAGTCTAACCACATACAATGTTATTTGTGACTGCAGCGCGCACTTTTAGAGCAGAAGCAGAAGAAGAAGCGCCAGGAGCCCCTCATGGTCCAGTCTAATGTGGACGGCCGGGCGCGAACCCGCAGGATGAAGCAGTCAGAGGAGCAGGCGCCCCTGGTGGAGTCGTATCACAGCAGCAACAGCAGCACCATATACCACGGTAAGCCTGGAGGGAGCGATGCACAGTCCCTGGACCTCAGTATGAACGCCATCCTTCACATAGCACTGACGTAGACTGTATGTCCCCTCCCCCACAGTCACATCCGTCTCTGTACAGAGGAGCTTACACTCTAATCGCCCCTCCCCCCCCAGTCACATCCGTCTCTGTCCAGAGGAGCTTACACTCTAATCGCCCCTCCCCCCCCAGTCACATCCGTCTCTGTCCAGAGGAGCTTACACTCTAATCGCCCCTCCCCCCCCAGTCACATCCGTCTCTGTCCAGAGGAGCTTACACTCTAATCGCCCCTCCCCCCCCAGTCACATCCGTCTCTGTCCAGAGGAGCTTACACTCTAATCGCCCCTCCCCCCCCAGTCACATCCGTCTCTGTCCAGAGGAGCTTACACTCTAATCGCCCCTCCCCCCCCAGTCACATCCGTCTCTGTCCAGAGGAGCTTACACTCTAATCGCCCCTCCCCCCCCAGTCACATCCGTCTCTGTCCAGAGGAGCTTACACTCTAATCGCCCCTCCCCCCCCAGTCACATCCGTCTCTGTCCAGAGGAGCTTACACTCTAATCGCCCCTCCCCCCCCAGTCACATCCGTCTCTGTCCAGAGGAGCTTACACTCTAATCGCCCCTCCCCCCCCAGTCACATCCGTCTCTGTCCAGAGGAGCTTACACTCTAATCGCCCCTCCCCCCCCAGTCACATCCGTCTCTGTCCAGAGGAGCTTACACTCTAATCGCCCCTCCCCCCCCAGTCACATCCGTCTCTGTCCAGAGGAGCTTACACTCTAATCGCCCCTCCCCCCCCAGTCACATCCGTCTCTGTCCAGAGGAGCTTACACTCTAATCGCCCCTCCCCCCCCAGTCACATCCGTCTCTGTCCAGAGGAGCTTACACTCTAATCGCCCCTCCCCCCCCAGTCACATCCGTCTCTGTCCAGAGGAGCTTACACTCTAATCGCCCCTCCCCCCCCAGTCACATCCGTCTCTGTCCAGAGGAGCTTACACTCTAATCGCCCCTCCCCCCCCAGTCACATCCGTCTCTGTCCAGAGGAGCTTACACTCTAATCGCCCCTCCCCCCCCAGTCACATCCGTCTCTGTCCAGAGGAGCTTACACTCTAATCGCCCCTCCCCCCCCAGTCACATCCGTCTCTGTCCAGAGGAGCTTACACTCTAATCGCCCCTCCCCCCCCAGTCACATCCGTCTCTGTCCAGAGGAGCTTACACTCTAATCGCCCCTCCCCCCCCAGTCACATCCGTCTCTGTCCAGAGGAGCTTACACTCTAATCGCCCCTCCCCCCCCAGTCACATCCGTCTCTGTCCAGAGGAGCTTACACTCTAATCGCCCCTCCCCCCCCAGTCACATCCGTCTCTGTCCAGAGGAGCTTACACTCTAATCGCCCCTCCCCCCCCAGTCACATCCGTCTCTGTACAGAGGAGCTTACACTCTAATGTCCCCCCCACAGGTCACACAATGATACAGATAAGCAGACTCATATTTTTCATCATCCAGACATTCGGGAACATGGATCCGATCAGATTAATAATATTCATAAATGTTTCAGTGTTTAATCTGTGTGACCTCATAGTGTGGGGGGCGGAGGGGGGGTGGGGTGTCTTTTGCGGCTGCGTTCCTCATTAGGCACCCTGGACGCTTCATCTGCACCTCATTTGGCACCTGAGACAGGATCATAAAACCTTCTGTAGAAGCTCAGCGGTGCAAAAACGATCCGCGTGACTCCACATGTGGTAACTTTGTAATAAAATATAACATTTTGGTCTTTTTATGATGCTGTTGGTCCTGGTAGGTGAAGAGCATCGGAGTTGGAACTTCACACACATTGCAGGTTGTTTTCCAAGTACGAGCGATGAATGGTGAGACCTCGCGCATCATCTGCCCGCCCCTCCCACATACAGCTCGGTGACCCGCGGCCCGCCGTCCGCCAGATGATATATAGATAAGAATTAATAAGATAGAACAGAGAGAAGAGTTATAAGAAGATACATTGTGACCGCAAATCATAATATTTACTGTATAAAACCTGCTGAGGTCACAGAAATGGATGTGCACCCAGATTATGGTTACCGTCCGTCCCCATTCCCCAGGGACAGTCCCCATTTTTAGGGGGTTTGTCCCCAGGAAATGGGTGTCCCCAGAGCTGTCGGTGGCTGCCCAGTGGCCATGGCATATCCAGGGTATATTGCATATGGCACATACCCTGGGCACCACCTAAAAAGGGGGGCACCTCTCTGTGGGTAAGCAAAAGCTCACGACTCATGGAGACAACAGAGACAGAGCAGACTGCCGCTGTCATCATTTGACCCTCGCCGCTGGTGGCCGGTTGCTAGGACCGCTAAGGCCGCCAGGTGCCGAGGGAATTTTACCGTTCTATCTGAAATATCTGCCTCTTGTTCCAAAAGTCTGTGACCAGGGCCGGTGCTG